CTATAAATGATTTTTGTCTTAGGCCACATAGTGAAGGGTAAGTGAAGGGCAAGAAAAACAGCTACAGATATCCACACTAATCAATCATGAGACGTCTTACAGACTCAATTTTACCTTGAAGACAAGAAAGCTGGGAGAGAGCTAGTCCTAAGTATTAGAAATGATAACCTCATTAACTTTGGATAAAATGCTCTGTAGCACTACTTCTGAAGAGGATGGGTCACATAAAACCAGCCAAAAGGCAGGAAAGAGCCTTGGAGAACAGAGATGAGGGATGCAGAGGCTGGTGACAAGAACAGTGGGGTTGGACACGAAAAAACCAATAGGATAACAACAAGAAAGAAGGAGTTGGATGTACACCATGAGGGGGCGGGGATCACTCCCAACTTTCTGTCTGGGATGAGTCTGGGTGGGTGCTGGTACCAACAGGTTAAAGGCAAGACAAGGAGCTCCCCTTTTTCCCAAAAGGAAATGCCCAGAAGGTTCGTTCCTGGGCAGGCCAGAAATGTCAGTGACCCAAACTGGGCCCTGTGAGATGCAAATGATTCATTGTTGGAACAAGCCAGCTTCTATGACAAAACATGGATAGGATCAAAAAGGCTAAGGAGAAGCCTTGATTTCCTACTTAATTCAACATGCTTCGATAAAACCTACCCTTCCTGCCTCCCTTCCTCTGCTCCCATCTACCTCATGTAATTCATTTACAGCAACACAGTTCAGATCCCTCGTAATCACCTCAATCTACGTTTTACCTTTTTTTTTTTTTTTTTCTGTAATTTCTTTATTTTGAGGCAGTCTTGCTAAATTGCCTATGTCGGGCTTGAACTTTTTTTTTTTTTTTTTTAATTTTTATTTAAGGAGAAAAGAAAAGAAAGAAAAAAAAACAGTGAAGGGGTACAAGTTATACAGATTTACAGAAGAAAAAATGCGCAGTAGGAAATCACTAGTTAATGGATTACATATTGCCATCTTAGAAATAATTGTTCAAGTCACAAAATTAAAGCTTGTAGAGTGGACATTCCAACAATGATACTGCAAACAGTTCTGTTCATTGATCCAATAAAACTCTGTGATATCATTTTCTATCTTATACATTTAAATATACATGCAGTTATATAGTTTAGAGCACTTTCTTTTCCTCTCTTCGGCTTGAACTTTTGATCATCCTGTCTCAGCCTCCCAGAGTGCTGGGATTAGAGGCATGTGTCACCAAGCTTCACCTGCATTCTTCATAGCACTTACACAATTTATGTAGTACCTAGATACTTGTTTACTGTTTATGTCTCCTCTGCAATGTAAACGCCAGGCCCAGATCCCCAGAATGCCTGGGCATTGCAGAAACTCAGTAAATATTTGCGAAAGTCGATCTGAACCCCTCTCCCAGTCTCTGCTGCTACACCGATTCAAGACCCAGTGAGAAATGCTAGCTAGTGAGGACTCTTTGAGGTTATGTCAGATCATGACTCTCGAAAAGTTATGGAAAACATGATCAGTTGAGAATATTTATTAATCGTTGTAGGATGCAGTGATGAGAAGATGAAAGAGAAATAGGTTTAGCCCAGTACCTGGAAGCCTACAAGGATGCTTCTATTACAGATGTATACAAGAAATGTGGAATCCTTGATGAAACAATAAAGGCACCTAAACAATAAAGGCATCTAATCTCAAATAAACGCTTTGGGCAAACGCTGGAGCCTAGATACTTAACATTCCCTTACCAGTACAGAACATAAATAATAAACACGACCATCATTTACTTATGTACTACCTATATGACAGGCTTTACTTGCATTCTTTAATTTACCATTTAAATCCCATAAAATGTACATATCACATCATTATCCCCAACAAGTGTCAGAGATTAATCTGTCCATATTTGTCATCAAATAGTAGGAAAGTAGGAATAAGATTTGAAGTTTTGTCGGGTATGGTGGCTCATGCTTGTAATCTCAGCACTTAGGAGGTTGAGGCAGGAGGATTTTTGTAAGTTAGAGACCAGCCTGGGCTAGAAAATGCACTCAAGGCCAGTCCAAACTGCGTAGCAAGACTTTGTCTTAAGAAAAAAAAAAAAAAAAAAGATTTACTTGACAGTAGTACATCCCGTCTTATTTATTGATTTATTAATTGGTTGGGTTGAGTTGTTCATATTGAGTTTTTGTTTTTTGAGGGTTTTTTTATTTATTTTTGTCTTGTTTTTTTGAGACAGGATTTCACTATGCAGTTCAGGCTGCCCTTAAATTCACTCTGTAGCCCAGGCTGGCCTCAACTCACACCAATCCTCTTGTCTCAGCCTCCTGAGTGCTGAGATTACAGGCCTGTGCCACCTGCAGCCCCAGTTTATTTTAGACAGAGTTTTGCTACATTATGCAGGTTAGCCTCAAATTTATAATCTTCCTACCTCGGATTATGGGCATGTATCACCATACCTAGTAAATTCAAGGTTTTGCTTTGTTTTAAATTCAAGTTCTTAATCATCGTATTATTATAGAGACTAAATTAGGTAAAAATACAGTAGGCAGTCAGACAGGACTAGGCCCTCCAGGGAACTAAAGCAAAAGATAATCTATTAGGATTGTGGTTGGAGGCCTTCTAAAGTTTAAAGTCAAGGGGCTGGGGGTTTAGCTCAGCAGGCATAAGTGCCTGCCTTGCAAGCAGGCAGTCGTAAGTTCGATCCCTGGTACTGATAAAAACAAAAAAAAAAAAAAAAGTTTAAAGTCACAATGGCTAGTTTTACGTATTTCCCTAAGGGATAAACAGAGGCTTGGGATTTTTGGTATCACCATTTTGAGATTTCCCATCATCACTTTAGGAGTGAGCCATCCTTTCCACTAAGACTGGACTTATTCCACTAAGACTAGGATAAAACCACTAAGACTGAGACTAATACCACTAAAACTACTAAACTAAAAATAAGACTAAGACTACAGATTATCGACCAAAGTTAACCGTGTTACCCATGCACCCTTGCAGTATTATTGATCATAATTTTGACCCACTCTTAAATTCCATTGTTAAGAATCATTCTTTAACTTTAGGGGATGAAAACTCTGCATATTTGATATCTAGCACTTCCACTCTACCAACATTGCAAAGACTACTATGAAGACTAAATTTAAAATGTAAAAAATAAACTGGGAGTAGCAGCACATGTGTGTCATCTCAGCACTCTAGGAAGCTGAGGCAGGATCATGAATTTCAGTTAGCCTGGGCAATTTTATTTTATTTTATTTTATTTTATTTTTTTGGTCTTTTTTTTTTTTTTTTTTTTGAGATGGGGTCTCGCTATGCAGTTCAGGCTGGCCTTGAGCTCACTTTTGTAGCCCAGGCTGGTCTCCAACTCACAACAAACCGCCAACATTAGTCTCCTGAGTGCTGGGATTACAGGCGTGAGCCACCACGCCAGGCTTAGCCTGGGCAATTTAACAATTTAGGAAGACTTTGTCTCAAAGTAAAAAATAAAAAGGATTGTAGATTTAGCTCAGTACAAATGCCCTGGGTTCAATCCCCAGTATGAGAAAAAAAATATTAAAATAAGTTTCATAAATAGTTTGTGTCTCTTAAGATTCTTTTTACACCCCCTGGTTTATCATCTACGTCTTATTTTTGATGCTATGATAAAACCCCCGAAGCTGGATAAATTATAAGGAAAAAGCTATTTAGTCAAAAGCCCTGGAGGTAGGGAGTTTTGCTTCATAACACTGATGGAAGGCAGCCATCCGTGGGAGACTGAAAAATGGGCAACAAGAAGAGGCCAAACAACACAACAGAGGAATCCCTGCTTTGTAACAATTTGGTCTCAGGTAATTAATCCAGTCCTGCTAGACCTGACTCCTCCTAGATCTAATCTAGTCTCAGGAGAAAGACATTAATCCCCTCATGACAGCAGGGCCTCTATGTCCCAAACACCTTCAAAGGCCCCACTTTCTGTACTGCCTTGAGAAATTAAGTCTCCACACGAATTTGGGCTGAGACAAGTCTCATCGCTAAGGCTCTTCGGCAAAGGGGCTTCTTTTCCAGGAATGCTCTGTCTTCCGTTACCAATTAAACCATCTGTTGTCAGTCACTGAACTGTTGGTCATTTAACTGAGAGGCAACTGGAGGGGAAGCCAGCACCGCCAATGCAATTTTTTCCCCTTTCCAGGGGGAGGCCTCAGGCTCTGAGAGACGTAGGAAGGGGGTGTCCTGGTCTTGCAGTGGGACCTGGAATATCTAATTTTCTTCTCTGAGCATCAGTTTTCTCTACTGGGGAGCTGGGCTGAAGGCCCCTGAAGCACATGGAACAGCAGCAAAAAACCTGGGCTCTGCAAGGGTGGTTTTCCACCTCCCGCCCCATCTTCAGTGTGCACTGAGGTCAACGGTCTTACAGTCCGTGGTTCACGAAGCTGCTCCAATTACAGGAAGCACTTCACGAACAGTGCTTGGTGAGGTGCTTTGGACAAGGTAAACATGCAATAAGCGTGAGCGCCGTCGTGGTCATTATCATCTTCATCCCAGCCCCAACATTCAGACGATCTCTGTTAAGCCAGAGGACTCCTTCGTGAATGACTTCAACTCACAAATGGACTCAGTAGGCAGGAAACCTGAAGTTAGCGCTTTCCACGAGAGGACGCACAGCCTTTCCGGCCTCAAGCCTACGACTTGCAGGACAGCCATGACAGACCCCGCAGAGTTCCCTTCCCCTTCTCTTTCAGCCGCGGCGGGTGAGGAGGCCAGAGCCCGGGACTTCCCGGCCCACCCACCTCCGCCGCCATTGGCGGCCTCCTCGCTGGCGTGACTAAGGCCCTGCCCTCTTCTCGCTGGGACCACTCTGAGGAGATCTCCAGTAGCGGCGGGGGCCTCGGAGGCGAAGCCGCGGTGCATCCTGGGCTTTGTAGTCCGTCTGTAAAGCCGCAGCCGGAGAGCGGGCCTTGCGAGCGCAGGGAACTACAAGTTCCAGCAGCCGCGCGGGGAGCGGGGCACGCGGGAGGGGGGTTCTTATCACGTGGGCACTCGGCCTGGGCGGGCTATTTCTCAGTGCGGCGGCGGCGGCGGCTCGCGGGAGCGGTACCTTTTGTTTGGAGCGGCTGCGGGGGGGCCCCGGAACGGCGAGGCCGGCGGCCTTCCCCAGCTTGCTGGGTCCCGGCCGCCCCTCGTGGGGGTGGGGGGCCGCTCCCTGGGCCGGGCGTCTCCCTAGGCGCCGCCGCCCCGCCCTAAACCCGCCCTGCCCGGCCCGAGGGGAGGAACCGGCCGGGCCTCCTAGTGCGGCCCAGCCACCCCCGGAGTCGCTGCTTTCTTCCCCACGCTCCAGACCCGAGGCTGTCCCTGGCTCCTCAGGCCGACGCCATGAAGATCAAGGATGCCAAGAAGCCCTGTAAGTAGGGGGCTGGGCCGCCGGGAGGGCACCCCGGCCCGGGTCTGGAACCTCCGGCGTAGCGGCCTCGGTCTCCCCCGGCTCGCTTGGCGCGCGCGCCCTGCGCGGGCGGGAAGGGAAAGGACTTAGCCGCTGGTTCCAGGCAGCCGAGTTCCCCATCCCCCTGTGCATGCTTGGTGAGCGCCTGCCGCCCCCTAGCCCTGTCCTCCCACTTCCTCTTCGTGAGCCGGGAGGTTGCTAGAGGGAATTTTTGATTTGAGTTTTGCACAACGACAATAGAGCTAATACTCCCCTCTCGCGGCTTGAAGTCAAGTTGAAAAGAGATGGTCGCGCCTGTCAGCGAAGGGCAGTTAACACCCTTCTTCAGTAATTTCTGGGCTTCCTGCTTGTGTACTTGAAATGCGATGGTTTCCTGAGAGTTGTCACTGTTCTTGGCAGTTAGAGCTTTTAAACACATGTGCATGTAACTTGGCGGTGGGTAAATTGTCTCAACCGATTTTTGAGTAGAATCTTAATTAGTTCGTGTTTGTCTTCAAGCATACAGAAATGAAAAGATTAAAAACACCCGTATTCCCGCTACCCGGAGTGAAACACTTAATATTATGGGGAATACCTGTAGAGATTTTTCTATGATTGTATACGCGAGTAATTTTAAAAAATCTCACCAAGCTGTAAGAAAACAAACTCATTTGCTTCTTTTTTGTAGCTCTTTCAAAGCCTTTCATTCCTGTAATTGGCTTATTTCATTGCTCACTCGTTGTGATTGTCATACTTAAATTCCTCTGGACAACTAGGAATGTAGAGATCCAGTCCCAAAACTTTTTGCTGTTTTGCTGTTTTTTGCAGTGTTTCATGGGGATCCTCCCGAATACTCTTAAGAAATTTGTATTTTTAAAGGACGCTAACACCTTTCCCTGCCTTTTTGCCCACCAGGGATTTTGTAAACCTCGTTGGAGAAGCAGCCTGCCTAAGAACTCCGAAAACTAATTGGTTTTTTTGTTTATGAGACAAAATCTTGCTATGTGGATTAATCTGGCTTGAACTCTCAGCGGTCCTCCTGTCTCAGCGTCTTGAATGCCGGGCTGAAAACGAATTGTTATTTAAATGTGTGATACTTTAGTCTTTACAAAGGAGGACTTGGAATTTACTGAGCTCTGAATAACTTTTTACAAGGTCTCTTCTAACAACTGTTGTGTTGTTGAAGTTTAGAATCCAGTGTCATCTACACCTGAGGGACATAGTTTAATACTTGAGAAATACAAACTGTGATTATCTGGTTATCTGGCTAATAAAATTTTTTTCATGGCGATTTCTTTTTTATAGCTGCAGAATTCTTTTGATACTTCAGTCTATAAAACAGCGACGGCAGTAGTTTAACTATGTAAAAAAAGTACTTCTAACTTACATTTGCAGAGTTAAACTACTACAACTTGAATTGATGCAGTAATGCAGACTACTCACACATTGCCCCTAGGACACATATTTTCTGTTTTCTTAGTATTTCCACTTGTGAAGAGTGTATCGTTTTATTTTTATTTATTTATTTATTTATTTTTTGAAGCAAAGTCTCACAATGTAGTTCAAGATGGGCTTGAATTCACTGTGTAGCCCAGCCTGGCCTCAAGCTCAAGACCCTTCCTGCCTTAGTTTCCTGAGTGCTGGGATTACAAATGTATGCCACCATATCAGTCTTTAAAATAATACCTTTTTAAAAAAAATAAGTGTATTACTGTGTTGCAGTGTATTGTGAAACCATTAATCCTACTTTAACCCTAAAAAGAGTCATGCTGAAAAACTGGCTAGGCAATTTGATTTAGAACTGTAAAATAAGATTCACAGCTTTTTCTGGGTAAAAAGTACCTCCTAAAATCTTTATAGTAAAATAAAGAACATTTTGTTTCTCTATTTGTGGGAAAGATATTTTTGATAGGTTTATAGCAAATTGTAATTTCTTTAGAAACAGGAATTTTTTTGTGCGTGTGGTACTGGGGATTGAACTCAGGGCCTTATGCATGCTAGGCAAGCACTCCACCACTGAGGTACATCCCCAGGAATTTTATTTCTATTTTTAAATACATACTTTAATGGGTTGTACGTTTTTATAATTGCTGTATTTATTGACTTAGGCTCTATTTTGTATGCATTGTCATTTAATTGCAGCAATGCTAAAGGAAGCTATGTATCATATTGTCTAATGATTTGGCTTCAGCCAAGTATGGTGGGGCACACCTATAATCCCAGCCCTCAGAGGCTGAGGCAGGAAGATCTCAAAAGCTCAAGGCCAGCCTGAACTACATAGTGACACCTTGTCTCAAGAAATGGAGAAAAAAATGCGATTGGCTTTATACATTTTCTTACATTAAGCTTCTAAGTGTTAGAAAACATTACTTTTAGGTACATCACCAATGTATCATGAGGCTCTAAGCAAAATGGTTTAATTAACTTAAATATTTTACAAGGAATTCATTTTGCCATGTAGATTGTATAACTAGAAAATTAGCATTTGAAATTATGTTAATTTAATCCCAGGCAAAGGTTCTCCTTTCTAAAGGTTCTATTATCTAATAGATCAGTAATATTCCTATGTACTCTAGCAGACATGATAAAGTGTAAATTTTTCAGCTTGTGTTTTGTTTACCTGTTTGTCATATAATTGAATCAACAAGGTTATAGTAAAAGATGACAAGCGTATCTAAATGTGTAATGTAGATTTTTGAGGCAATGCTTTGCTAGCCCAAGTAGTAAGGTCTTGGAAATGTTTGTTAGGCATAGACAGTTGTATAACCTAATGTGTATAATCTTACTTCTCCATAATTTGGCCTGTTGGTAAGTTTAGTTTAGAATTATTAGCGCTTCCAATAAATAATAAGGTACATTTGAAGAAAATAGTTTCTAATATACTTCTCCTTAGAAGTATTTAAAAAAAAAAAAGTACTTTGTTACAGAAAATCAAATTTACCCAAATCTGTCCTAAGGAATTTTTTTTTTTTTTTTTTTGTACGGGGGAATTGAACTCACAACCTTGTGCTTGCCAAGCAGGCACTTCTGCTGCTGAGCTAAATCCCTGGCTGTCCTAAGGAATTTTAATACTGAAGGTGTAAAGATGTATGTTCTCTCTTTTTTTTTTTTTTTTTCTTTGAGACAGAGTCTTACTGTGCAGTTCAGGTTGGCCTGATTTACCTGATAAAGAAGATAGTAATTCTTAGTAGCACTCTGTCCATGAGGTAGTTGGGGATATATGAGACAAATGATGACTCTTGTAAGATCAGTTGAGGCAGAGAATAAAGGTATTACTTTTTTGAAGGCCAAATAAACATCATTTGAGATTCTAGGGAATACAGTCTAGAGAAGATATTGTATACTTGCCATCACCACTGTGCTGATTTATATTTATAAAATGTTTTGCCTTATAAAAGTATTTTGCCTCACACCCACATACACACAAAGTATATTATTCCAAAAGAAGGAAGAAATGTTTAGGTTACATGCAGTACATAAGCTATTTATGTACTGGTTTTTATCCGTTATGTACTTTAGCCAGAAGCTGTAGGTACAGCTCTTTGATTTCTTAGGAAACTGATGTTTTTCTTAGTTCATGGAATTCTCTTAGGTGTATCTATGGTTGTATTTAATTATTGTTTTATTGCAAAGAAGTAACCTTTGGGCTTCATTTCCTTCTCTTGTTTTTGAGACATCAAGCATTAAATATTTTTTAATACACTAGAAAATATAAAACAATAAGTAAACCACCTGGTAAATGATAGGAGTAGATCATAATTGAGAATTTGGGTCTTTGTTAGTGCCAGCCTCAAGCTTTTAATAGTGATTATTTCTCGGACAAAAGAATATGAACTTTAGAACTCAAAAGAGCTCTATAAAAGGAGGCTTTTTCTAAGTTGGAGCTTTTGGTAGGGCTCAGGTCTCTTTTTCAGGTTCCTTTATTCCTGAATTTAAGAAGAATCAAACATGTGAGAGGTTTAGTGTACCATAATAATATGTAGCTTTGTTTAGGAATGTTCTTTTTATTTTTTTCTGTAAAGTTTCTTTTGAATTAGGACTGGTTTGGTGACTTCATACAAATAGCATGCCTAAGAAGCTTTTTTTTTTTGAGCAGGATCTGACCTTATGGTTGAGTCTGACCTTGAACTCGCAGTGTTGTAGCCTAAGGTGGTCTGGAACTTATGGGGTGATCTCCTGCCTCAACCTCCTGAGTGGTAGGTTTATAGGCCTGTATCACCATGCCCAGCTCTGAAAAGCCATTTAAAGAAACAGGAGTAGTTTATTTGCAGTGTTGGGGATGGAACCCAGGGATAGGAAAGTTTGATACAGGAGCTACCAACTGAGCCTCATCCACAGCACAGTGCATTTTAATTTGTTCTTATTTTAATGACAGCTATACCTAAACAGTCATTTTCTTTATTTGTGAAGGAGTCAGAAAACATTAACACTTTCACATACTTCTCAGTTGAGGGAGGATAGGGAAGAACCAACCATGTACAAATAACCCTTTCTGCCTCGTGTGGTAGTATCTGGCTGTAAGCTCATCACTTAGGGGGCTCAGGTGCGGGGCCAACCTGAACTACAAAACAAGGTTGCGTTTTTGCAAGAAACATTAAAAAGGAGCCTTTCTGGGGGAGAGAGAATGCAGAATCACTTTAAGAGTTAAAGTTCTTCGTTTAAGTATTAATTTAAGTACTTAAATCTTCATTTAAGTATTAATGTAGAGAGATCTTTTAAGAATGGTTGTATAGCATAAACATTGGAGCAAAGGCTTCTGGCTGAAGATGAGGCATAAACTTTGAACTGGTAGTGCTTCACAATTTGTACCTTCAGTAACATTTTCATTTGAGTACATGTATGTTCTGACACCTAGATGTCAAGGGAGGCACAAAAATAAAATGTGCAGATGCTAACTATAATGATTTGGTGGGGGGGGGGGTCCTTTGAAAGGGTTTCACTATGCAGTTCAAGCTGGCCCCAAAATCACTATGTAGCTCAGACTAGCTTTAAACTCACAGTGAACTTTCTGCCTCAGCCTTCTAAGTACTGGGAGTGCTGGAATTACAGACATGCACCATCATGCCTGGCTTGTATTTTTTTTTTTTCCAAATCCATTTTATTTCAAGGAGAAAAAAAACTAAAAATGTCAAAACATGTCAGTAGAGGGGGTGTGCATTGTCATCCCCAAATCTTTCACCCAGAGCGTAAGACATCTACATTCAATTGTCCAAACAATACCAGCACAAATCTTTCTCTTAAGCAAACTCAGAGAAATCAGTAGTATCTTATAATAACTATCTTAACTATTTTTAGTATACCCATATATGTACATGTTATTTCAGCCTCTCACACTAGTGAAAGAATATAATGTTTACCCATGTGTGTCTGATATATTTCACTTACGAGTATGGTCTCAAATTGATGAGTATGGTCTCATTTACCTGTAAAAGTCCAGTTTATCCTTTATGGCTGAGTGATACTGCACTATGTTAGCCATTTCTCAGTCGATGGGCATTTAGGTTGTTTCCAACATCTAGCTACTACAAACTGTACTGCTATAAACATGGGTGCACATACATTGCTATGGTATATATTTTTGTTTTGTTTTTGTTTTTGTCTTTTTGAGACAGGGTCTCTATGCAGATCAGGCTGGCCTTGAGCTCACTTTATAGCTGAGGCTGGTCTCATAAGGATCCTCCTGCGTGCTAGGATTACAGATGTGAGCCACCAATGCCCACTTAATGTTTTTTAATTCTTCTGAGAAGATACTTAAGGAGAATAGCTGGGTCAAATGGGATCTCCAGTCCTAGTTTTTTGAAGAATCTTCACACTGATTTCAACACTCTAGCCTCCCACCAACGGGGGGGGGGGGGGAGTAGATAGTTTCTTTTTCCCCACCAGCATTTGTTACTGATTGACTTCTTGACAGTAGCCTTGCTTTCCGGATGAGGTGACATCTCAGTGTTGTTTTTAATTTGCATCGCGAATGGCCAGTAATGTTCAACATTTTTTATATATTTGCTGTTTGTATTTCTTCATCTGAGATGTATTCATCTCAGATACCCATTTTGGGGTTGGGTCTTTAAATCTGAGAGGATTGATTTTTTTTTTTTTTTTTTAAGTTCTTTATATGTTCTTGATAGTAATCCTTTGTCTGAGGTACAGCTAACCGACATTTTCTCCCACATTGTAGGTTGTGTCTATACCATTGGTGGTTTCTCTTGCTATTCAAAAGCTTTTCAATAGGGTGAGGTCCCAGTTGTTGATTCTTTGTGATAGTTCCTGTGTGATGGGGATTTTGTTCATAAAGTCTTTTCCTACACCAGTGTCTTCAAGATTTTACCTGCTGTCTTTCAGCAGATTTAATGTTTCTGTGTAACAGTTTTGGAAGTATGGCCAAATGGCCATATAGAGTGTCCTTTTTTTTTTGAGACTGGGTCTCACTACAGTTCCAGCTGACCTTGAATTCTTGATGGTCCTTCTTGGTCAGCTTCCCCTCCTGAGTGCTGGAACTGTAGTGTTTATGTGTAAATTTAATATGTTCCAGGTCTCTTAACTATCATTGCCCTATGCCTGCAGAAATCCGTATTTTTAAATTAATACCTAGGTAATTTTGATCTAGATTGAGGATACTTTATCCTTATTCAGTAGGCACATTTTCAACCCTTGTGTATCCTGCACCATGCCACTAAATGTTTTAATTGCAAGCAGACTGTGTAGCTTTTCTATAAATAGTAGTACCCCAAACTGTCTACAAATTGAAGTCTAAGCTTCTTTGCCTAGTATAAAGGACTCTTTATGATTGATTCCTGTTTTCTCAGCCTCAGTCTTTTTCCTGATTCTCTATTTTTATTGATTTATGCATGTCTGCATATAGGTTTTACAATTTTTAATATTCCCCACATTTAAACAGGCATAGAATTTAGCATTCCTTTTATTGGTCAGTGCTGCACATACAGTTTTATTTTACCTGTTGCATTCCTATGTGATTATATTTGTATTCCCTGCTAGCTTGACCTGTCCTTGAGGGCTGGAATTTTATTTTACATTTCTGACTTACTGAAAGGAAGTGAGGAAAGTAGTATACTGAGAAATCAATGGCTTTTCCTATTGCCTAGTTAGTAAGAGAATCCCTGGTCCCAATCCTGAATGATATTGCAGCCTAAATGTACTTACTTCAGAGTATGATTTAACTTCAACAGTATGAACCAGATGTACCAAAGGAACTAACTTTGCTTAATGAGCAGTAAGTAAGTAGAAAATAAATTTCCTTTTAAGGAGCTACTTTTCCCATGGGTGATTATAGAACAATGATACTGTATTAAAACATTTATGGAGGCAGAAAGATACTCAAGCTGTAGGTAATGACCATATTTATTGAAATGAAATTGTTTTGTTTAAGTTCTTCTATTTCCTGTGGCATGAAGGTAACTATTCAATAAAGAAAACGAATAATTGTTAGGTCAGAAATTAAAAGGCTGTGGCCCATCTCTGAGTATCTTACCAGTTTTTAGAAAATATAAAATTGAAAGAGAAAGGTGAGTTACACGTAGAAGATATATCTTACCCAATTATTGACTAAATGCATAATTTAGGTTAAACGAGTTTGTGGAAAATTAACTGCTTGTCTTCAGTTTGCATTTCTAAAATCATATATATATATATATATATATATATATACACACACCCGTGTGTGTGTGTGTATGTGTATTTTAAATGTTTAAATTTTTTAAAATTAAATTTTTTTAATTTACAGCTTTCCCTTGGTTTGGCATGGACATTGGAGGAACTCTAGTAAAGCTGTCATACTTTGAACCTATTGATATCACAGCAGAGGAAGAACAAGAGGAAGTTGAGAGCTTAAAAAGTATTCGGAAATACTTGACTTCTAATGTGGCATATGGATCCACTGGCATTCGGGATGTACACCTTGAACTGAAGGATTTAACACTTTTTGGCCGAAGAGGAAACTTGCACTTTATCAGATTTCCAACCCAGGACTTGCCTACTTTTATCCAAATGGGAAGAGATAAAAACTTCTCAACATTACACACGGTGCTATGTGCTACAGGAGGTGGTGCTTACAAGTTTGAAAAAGATTTTCGTACAGTAGGTATTTGTTATTTGAGCCAAAATTTTATATTGCTTGTATTCGGTTTTAAATGTAAGGCTGGATTTCCATTTAGAATATCCTTAGGTTAATTCCCCTGAAGAGGTGGAAGAAGCATGTATTTATGACTAGTTTTTCATTTGGGACATTTTAAACACTGTTATGGGATGATGAACATATTCAGATGGGACCATAATTCCTTTATCTCAGTGCCTGGCGGCTTGAACCACCAGTATAGTACGTGTAAGACCGTTCTGTGCATGGCTTCGTCATTGGTGATCAAACTGGCAGAAGCATGTTGAATTGCCTAGCTTTAGGCGTGTTGTTGCACATAATAATAGTTGGTAAAAACCTGCTAATTTAGGGCTGTGCTGCAGGGGGAATTTAAAGCCCACTGTGGTAGCACAGTGACTTGGAAGGCTTAGGTTAGAGATGTGCAAGGAAAACTTCAATGAATTTGACAGCGTACTAACTCCGATATAAACAAGGTTTTAAAAATTCTTTTTTTTTTTTTTTGAGACAGGATCTCGCTATGCAGTTCAGGCTGGCCTTGAGCTCACTTTGTAGCCCAGGCTAGTCTTGAACTTGCAGCGATCCTCCTGCCTCAGCCTCCCAAGTGCTGAGATTATAGACGTGAGCCACCACACCCAGCTGAATTCTGTCATTATTAATGCCCTGCGTATGTGTGGTTTTTTGAGTAGTTTCTGTAGTCATTTCTCCCAGGCCCATTTCTGTCTAAGCCCTTGGTTGCTTAGTAGATACCTGAATAAGAAATGTAACCCTTTTTTCTTGGTTTTGTACCATCAAACTTACTGTGTTCCTTTCTTGGAGTCATTTGAATATGACTGGGGATTATTGAGTGCAGTAGGTCCCTAGCTTTTGAATCAGTTACGTTCTGGGAGAACATTGGTAAGTCAAATTCGATTGTAAATCTGAGTCATACACCTTCGGTGCAAATACACAACTTATATTGCTGTGGGCTTCGTACAAGTTTCCTCCCCATCACAACTGCTTTTCAAGGTGAAGTCCCTTCATATCTGTGAAAGTTTGTAAGTCAAGGACTTCACTATTGATTTTTTAGTTATATGCTATTGGGACTTTGCAAAGCTGATACTGGGTTTGTTTGTTTGTTTTTGAGATGGGGTCTCACTATGTAGCCGAGGCTGGCCTTGAACTCAGGGTGATCCTCCTGCCTCAGCTTCCCAAGTACTGGAATTACAAGCATGCACTACCATACCTGACCTCAAAGCTATTATAATGGGGATGCTGAAATGGGTTTTCTTTAAACACATAGATGTGTGGATTATGTAATTTTTCATTATCATCAAAAATTCCATTAATAGAGTATTTACTTCTAGTAATTCATATAAATATAAGCCCCTTACAATTATAGGTAGTTTGATCTAAAGTTTTATTTTTCTTTTTTGGTGGGGGTACTGGGAATCAAACTTAGGACGTCATGCTTGCCAGGCAGGTGCTGTGCCACAGCTAAACCTTGGCCTTATATTTTCTGGACAAATTTGAAAAGTATTTAGTGAGTAATTCTGAAAGTAAATTTCATGTATTTGTGGCCAGTTAGTATGAAGATGGCAGAATTTATTGTTTCCCAGTATTCTTACTAAAAGCAACGTCCTTGCTGCCAGCTTTCACCTGACAGTTGAAATACTGATATCTAGACATGGAGGGTTTGACTGTTAGCTTATGTTTGTTTTGGTATCAGGATTCAAACTCAAGACCTTGCACTTGTCAGGCAGGCACTGTGCTGCCAAGCTATATCCCTGGCACTTGTCTGCATTTGTTTTTGTTGTGATGTGTTAGTGGGGATTAACCCCACGCTTCACAGATCTACCTCCCCAGTTCTTTGTTTTGGGAAAAAGTTCCCCTGGGCTGTATTCTAATTTGTGATCTTCCTGCCTCAGCCTTCCTGAGTGCCAGAATAATAGAGTCTCCTTCTACTGATGTCCTAATTTTTAAAAATACATATTTAAATGCTGTTCTATAAATTTGTTAATATTGTTATTTATTGGGCATTTAGTGTATCAGGTATTGTAATCAATATTGGAAGATTGCAACTAAAAATAAGACAGATATAGTCCTCAAAGAGTATGCTTATTCTTGCTGGGCATGGTGGTGCACACCTGTAATCCTAGCACTTGGGAAACTGAGGCTGGAAGATCACTGAGTTTGAGGCCAGCTCGTGGCCAGCCTGTACTACACAAGACTGTCTCAAAAAGACAGGGAAAAAAAGTGATTCTCCTAGACCACATAGGTGTGTGAATTTTAAGTAAAGGCACAGTATATCACAGTATACTCTCATGCAACGAGTTGAATTTAATATAATAATGTCAAGCAGGTTCTAAGACTGCAATAAAAGCAAATTATGGTCTTTATATAACTGTTAGCTGGTATGATCATACCAGAGGACGTGATGAAGTCATTTAATATTTGCACCCACATAAAGATTCATGACTACAAAAGCTACAAATGGCAGATGAAAACAGTATATATTTTATTAGAGAATCAGAATCCATAAGCTGTGATACTGTGGCTGACATTGCCCAAGATGCTGATCAAGGCTTAGGAAAACTAAACAGTAAAAGGACAATATTCCTATGTTTACATGGTGTTGAGTTCCTAGCAAATTCAGTATGTTAGAACCACGTGAAGATATGTTTATACACGTAGATAAAATACTTTATACTTACGTAGGCTTAAATCATCACAAACAAGTATATAAAAATTATACTGTAAAGTTGAATCCAGTATTTTGCATGCTGCCTTTGACTTAAATTTACATTTTCTGTTTTTTTAGATTGGAAACCTCCACTTGCACAAACTGGATGAACTGGACTGCCTTGTAAAGGGCTTGCTGTATATAGATTCTGTCAGTTTCAATGGACAAGCAGAGTGCTATTATTTTGCTAATGCCTCAGAACCTGAGCGATGTCAAAAGATGCCTTTTAACTTAGATGATCCCTATCCACTGCTGGTAGTGAACATTGGCTCAGGCGTTAGTATTTTAGCAGTCCATTCCAAAGACAACTATAAGCGAGTGACTGGGACAAGGTAGTAACTTTTTCTTTTTTGGAATGATTTCACAATGTTTTATTCAAAGAAGTTGAGAAATGCATACATTAAATGATTGGGGGGAGTACTGGGAATCAAATCCAGGGGCCTTAAGCATGCTAGGCAAGTCTTCTACCACTCTGCAACAGCCCCAGCCTTGAAATCAATATATTGGTAGCTTTACCTGAAAAATGGTGTGTATTTGCACAAGATGAAGAAGTTGAATGTTGCACGTAATCTTTTTTGTTAGATGCATATGTAAAGATTCAGAATTAAGATCCTTTAGTGTTTATCAGTTGGCATCCCAGTTTTCATAGTAATGAATTTCTGTCTAGAATGATTCTGTTTTTTTTCAGAATTTGATAAAAGAGCACTTACTAGAAGTGAAAATGTTTTATTGATTTCAAAAGCACAGTATTTATATTTTATTCTGTTTCTTTTTTTTTTTTTTTTTTTTGATACTGAGGATTGAACTCATGACCTAGTATTTGCCAGACCCACGCTTACAACACTGATATAAACCCCTGGTTTTTCCTCTATTTCCAAAGCATTTTTCTTCTTACCCTGTTAACATTTTAGGGAAAACTTACCATGTGTTAAACATTTGCATTTAAACCATGGTATTGGGTACCATTGTAATGCTTATACAGAGATTAATGTGATCCCTATGTGGTAAAATATGTGCTGTGTGAATATGAAAAGAAATTTTAAGTTTTTCATTATCTTATGTATTCTATCAACTTTTAGGAGAGGCAGAGACTTTTTCAGTTGAAAAATTTTCATATACTTCAAGTGAGATTGATTTTAGGAAAATTCACTTCATTTTTAAAGTAGTATTTCTGTCTCTGATACCTAAATGTAATTAGCACTTCATTGTTTAAAAAATTGACCTCTAGTTAAACACAATGCCAAAGAATGATGCACAAATATTTCCTATGTTTGGTTCACTCTAGAAGACAAAATTTGGGGCTGGAAATTTAGCTCAGTGGCATAAGGACCTACCTGGCAAGTAAAAGATTAACTTTTTCTTTTTTTTGAGACAAGATCTCATTATGTAGTTCAGGTTGGCCTTAACCTTCCTTTGTAACCAATTGTGGCCTCAAACCCGCAGCAATTTTCTGCCTCGCCTCTTGAGTGCTGGGATTACAAGTGTTGGATAATCATGCAACTGTTCTAATTTTCTTTTAGAGACAGGGTCTTGCTATGTAGTTCAAGCTGGCCTGCGTAGCCCAGGCTTGCCTCGAACTTGTGGCGGTCCTCCTGCCTCTGCCTTCCAAGTCCTGGGATTACAGGTGTGCATCACCACATCCTGCTAATTTGAACATTCCTTTTTAATGCACACACAAAAGTATATTTTTAGCAGCTACAAAGTGTAAAATATGGCTAATCCCCTGCTTCATCTGATTGTATAGATTTCTTTTTACTAAACAGTTTTTTTTTGTTTTGTTTTGTTTTGTTTTTTATCCGTACCGGGGATTGAACTCACGACTGCCCACTTACAAGGCTGGCGCTTACACCGCTGAGCTAAATCCCCAGCCCTTACTGAACAGTTTTTATTGCCTTCTTTCTGTAGGACTTAGTAATGTGTTCTGTGTGTGTGCTCAATAAATGAATGGCTTGGGCCAGGGATTTAGCTCAGCAGCGCAGCATGTGCCTTAACAAGTGCGAGGCCATTAGTTTGATTCCCAGTACCAAATAAATAAACACTGTACCTTTTCACTAGAGAAAGAATATAGTGTATGAATGCAATTTTTAAAATTTTCTTCATTTCCTTTAGTCTTGGAGGGGGTACCTTTCTGGGCTTATGCAGTTTATTGACTGGCTGTGAAAGTTTTGAAGAAGCTCTTGAAATGGCATCCAAAGGTGACAGCACCCAAGCTGACAAGCTGGTCCGAGATATTTATGGAGGAGACTATGAAAGATTTGGTCTGCCAGGTTGGGCTGTAGCATCTAGGTAAGTTCCACATTTGTGTTATTCAGGTTGTTTATTAAATTTTTGGAAAGCAGTCTATTAGGGAGATACAAGACTGCTTTCTCTTATCCTTTTTAGGTTTCAAGTTTTTGAACATTGATATGGTTGAAAAGTTAAAGAGGTTTACCCTGTAAGAAACAACTTACAGGGGCTGGGGATTTAGCTCAGTGGCATAAGCGCCTGCCTTGCAAGCAGGCAGTCGTGAGTTCAATCCCCGGTACCAATAAAAAGGAAAAAGACAAAAAAAAAAGAAACAGCTTACAGAAATGCTGGCAGGCTGGCACACACACGTAATCCCAGCACTTTATTTTCTTATACAAAAGTTGTATAAGAACTTTATGGCATACTTTTATATTTTATAACATATGGCACACTATATATGCTCTAAAGTAGCCATATGTGCTTCAAATCTTTCCATGTTGTAGTCAAATCCTTATTGTGTGTTTGTGTAGGTTTATCTGTAGGATAAATTCCCAGGGTTATGAATGCTTAAGTGTGCTCTCCTAAGAAGTGGTCCGGTTTTCACCTCCCAAACAGCAGTGGGTGGAAATGCCTATTTCCTAAAAGTCTCGCTAAACTGATGGAGAAGTGGCATCCTTGTGTAATTTTAATTTGCATTTCTCTCCTTACATTTACATTGTTTTCTGTGATTGTTCATGTTGTTTTTTTCTGTTGCATTGTTACCCAGTTGAATTTATCAGTGTTTTCTTTTATGGCTTCTGGATATCGATTCATACTAAGTAAGTCTTCCACATCCCAAATACATAAAGGAACGAAACTTTATTTTTCTGTTACTTTAGTGGCATTATTTTTATATTTGATTTAATACAAATTTTGTTTTATAATTTAACTTGGAATTTTGTATGAGGTATAGATCCAGTTTTAGTTTTTCATTTTTCTTTTCAAAGGTCCTAATGCTGTATTTAAGTCATTTGCATATTTAATGATCTGATCATACACTGGGTTTTTATTGTTCTGTTGGTATTCAACACTACTGTTAGATTTGTAGAAAAATATAGGTATGCTTTAATATCTAGAAAGGCTGCCCCCCCATTGCTTATGTGATTTCCCATATGAAAACAGAAATCATTTTCTGTAATACAAACAAAATTTGTTAAGCTTGTGAATTTTCTTAAGGAAGAATGACATTTTTGTGACGAGTCTTGCCATTTTTACCTTGGCTGTTTGCTGAAAGCTACTTTGTCTTTCAGGCATTTTAGAGAACTTCATATATATTTGTCCATCACTTTTTAAAATTTTTCCTAAACTTTTAAAATTCTTTTTGGTTATTCTCATTTCCCATTATACTTTCTAACTGGTTGGTGCTTATACACCCCCATGTTCTTTGTCAAGACATCTAGTGCCTTACAGTAGTGATCTTGGCCTAACATATCACATCTCTTATTTCCTGCTTACATGGGCCCTGCATTTTTACCATTAAAATCACTTTTTATTTTAGAGATGTTTTCAGTTCTCATTTCATTGTGCCTTTAACCTTTACTTGCTTCTCCCTAAGATTTTCCTTTTTTTTCTTTTCTTTTTTTTCTGGTTAATGGTTTGTTTTACTTTTACTCTGAAAAACCTTTCTTCATACCTTTTCAGCTTTTTCCTTTTACCATGGTGATGCAGGATCTTTTTTCCTGCTTCCAAGGTAGTCTGGTTTGGTTTGTATTTTCCCATTATACTTAGTGCTTCTACTGCTCTTCCTCCTCCTCCATCTAGGCCTGCACTCTCCATGCAGTACCCTTGAGCCACATGTGTACAATAAGCATTTCAAAGCTATGAGTGCTTAGCACATGGTAAAACGACTGTATTTGGATATATTGGTGTAAGTAAATTACACAGCTAAAACTAATTTCACCTGTTGATTTTACCCTTTTAAGTATAGCTAATATAAACCATTAAATTGCTGTGGCTCATATTTTATTTCTATTGGACAGTGCTGCACTAGACCTGAACTGCTGAGGGACTTTGTGTACCTAATATAATACTTGCTACCTCATAAGTGTTCATTATAATTAAAAGGAAAGGAATTTTATATTAAACTAAGATACCTTTAAAAACATTTTGACTTTTTAAAAAAGTCAAAATATAACTATATTTTCTTGGCTTCCTAAAATCATAGCCATTTAATTCCATCATTTTGTATCAATTTTTGAAATGTAAATATCTTAATGATCTTTGTTTCCTGGGAACAGCTGTGTGCTTCCCTTTGAGACTTAATTTTGGCCTTAATTTATTACAAGGCACTATTTTAACCTTGAGTAGATTTTTGTTCATTTGTTTTGCTCTTATCCCTGTTTTTTTACTCTTGGTCCTAACTTTGTAAAGATAATGCAGTGTAAATATGTATGCTAATGTATGAAAATGCTGCTCATTATCAAATTATTTGACTTTTGTCTTTCATTTCTCTCCAGTTTTGGGAATATGATTTATAAAGAGAAGCGAGAATCTGTTAGTAAAGAAGATCTGGCAAGAGCTACTTTAGTTACTATCACCAACAACATTGGTTCTGTGGCACGAATGTGTGCTGTAAATGAGGTAAAAAAATGAAAGCTTACATGAAGAAGTTTTTGTGCTTCTAACAGGACTTGTTTTCCTTAAAGAGGCTCCTAAGATTGACATCTATTTCATTAAAGTCCAAAACTCAAACATTTTGCATACCAGTTGCTTTACTAATTTCAAGGAAGCAGCGGATAATTCAGATTTAAATAGGACAAATAATAAAATTCCCCAGAAAGCTTTTGAAAATATAAATCTTTCAGTATGAAAAAATTCTAAGCATAACACATTTTGAGCTGAGTAATTTTTGAAAGCTTTTTTTGTTTTGGGGCAGGGTCTTACTATGTTGTTCAGGTTGGCCCTGAACCCAGTTCAGCCTCCTGAGTGCTGGAACGACAGGTGGTGCCACCATGCCCCTGATGAAAGGGTACTTTTCTGTTAGTTGTATTTGACTAGTAAAATGCTCGGGAGTTTTCTTACTGCCCTCGGCTTCTTTACAGTGCTGCCTTGTTGCATATGGATCAAGCAGCATTGTACAGGGCTATGAAGGCATTGAGACTTATCTTCACGTTTTTGAATAGTACTTACTGCTTTTTTAAAAAAAAAAAAAAACTTTATTTTTTTTTTGGAGGGGAATAAAACAATAAAATGGGACAAAAAACAGAACAATATTGAATTTCAAAAACAAGACAGATGAAAATCCCTCATAGTTGCTATATTGCATATTGTTATCCTCTGAAGAGATGCTCAGGCTACTGGCACTGGGCCTGCAGAGTCAGTTGATCAATACAAGCATTGAGTTGTTTTTGTACCTGAGTTGCTGTCATCCCAGTCTGTGTTCCTTCAATTCAGGCAGTTGTCTGTGTGTGTGTGGGGGGGGGGGGTTGTCTCCCAGCCCATACCCTGCCTCACAGGAAAGGGAGGGAGGCTGACCTCTTTGGTTATTTCTCATTCCGTGGTGGCCCTAACTGCTTACTCTTTAGAACAGCTTAAAAAGCAGCATGCACTGTTGTTTGACTCGATAGCTTGGGAAAGAATATATATAATTCATCTACACATAGAGCCCATTTAATTTTTATAAATATTAAATGCTTCAGATAGATTGGGAGCTGTTCTTGAAGGAACCATTCATTCGTTCGTTCACTCATATATCATTGGGTAAATATTTGTAGGGCACTGTGTACTTGGGAGTAGTTCGAGGCCCTAGAGATATGGTATATTAGTGAAGAAAACAAAAGATTCCTAACCTTAATTTACATTGTTCTGCCGATATATTTAGTATGTATTTAGGTAGTAAATGTAACCCTTCAAAAAAGAAAAATAAGATAAAGAGAACTCGGAATAAGGCAGAAACAAATCACAAGTGATAGAGTAGTTTAAAGGAGAGTTTATTGAAAATATGGCACCTCTTTATAAAAAATCCTCTTTTGCAAGAATTACGTAGTAAATATGATGGAGCACACTGTCAATAACTGGGCCTTAAATGACTCATAAGAATCTTCTGGATAAAGTTTTAAAATGGAAAAGTGGGAGGGAGGAAATAAAGATAAGTATGCCATGACTCTTCAGCAAGGATTTGAGAGGAACTATGCATGCAGCTGTTTGGGAGAAAAGCTCAAGCACAGAGAACCACTATGCAAAGGTGCTGAATGATTCTGTTGAACTCCACAATATTTTTAAATTTCTTAATGACTGGTGGTAAGTTGATAATGAGATTTGGAAAATAATCCACTTTAGAGACAAGACAGTAACTGGGAATTTGGTTATTAGCTCTGTAGGTCTAAAAGTCCACTGACTAGTTGAATTATCAACTCATGTACAAAGATACATATGGACATCTACATATTACTGTGGAGGCAGAGGCAGGAGGATTGCTTTGAGTTCAAGGTCAGCCTGAACTGCAAAGCAAGACACTGAAAAAAAAAAAAAAAGCCCAAACATAAAAAAGTCAGTGTATTGCAGGAGTAGGAATAGACACAATTTTCTGATTGGGTCCCTCATCTAAGATTTCCTAATTATAGGGACACCTGAGAATCCAAATTAGTGTCCATGGAATCTTAGCAGAACAAGAATGGCTTGACAGTCATGCTATGGAAAGATAGGGTGGATACATATGCAGTGCCCTGGTTATTGTTGCTCTCCAACTGTATGCAGTCCATGTCACATGTCATAGTTAGGCATGTTTTGCAACATACTGGGCAGGCTTACATAGTTGGTCTTAAATGTATTTTAAACTGTTTGGGGCTGGAGATACTGATCATTGTAGCACCTGTACTTAACGTGTATGAGGCTCTGGATTCATTCCCTAGCATCAGGAAAAATTCACTTTTTTCCCCATTTAATTCCTTTGAGGTATATCCATATTTAACTTTGATGGATTATTCTCCATTTGCAAAAACAGGTCTCACCTGTAATCATTTCTCTGGGGTCTTAACCGAACTTAAAGTAGACTTATTTCTTAGAAAGGTTTTTAAAAACTTATTCCATAGTAAAACCAAGTGGAAACTAAAGTTCCTGGGTGTACCCGCCTTCCACATACAAACAGCCTTGCCTAATAGTCCCCCCAAGAGTGGTATAGTGCCTCAGATTCTATGCACCTGTGTTGTCATAGCATCACTAAAGTCCATACACAGAGCAGTAGTTTACATTAGGGTTCACTCTTGGTACTGTACATACTAGGGGTTTAGGTAAGTGTATTTAGAACTGTCCAATGCTGGTTTCTTTTTATTTTTTGTGGTGGTGGTAGTGGGAATTGAACGTAGAGCCTTACACATTGCTAGGCAATTGACTGTCACTGAGTTTACTATCTAGCACTACATTTTTAGGTATTTTTAAAATGCTTTATAAAATTGATTTAATAATTCTTTTACAAGCCATTGTCTTGGTTCTTTTCTTTCAGAAAATAAACAGAGTTGTCTTCGTTGGGAACTTTCTACGTGTCAATACTCTCTCAATGAAACTTTTGGCATATGCACTGGATTATTGGTCAAAAGGTCAGCTGAAAGCATTGTTTCTAGAACATGAGGTATGACAAACGTTTTATGAATTAATAGCATGCTTTCAGATGCAAGTTTTGTATGTTGTTTCCAACCTTAGAAATGTAAAACTACAAATTGTTTATATAAGTAGAATATTGTTCCTTCACTTCAGTTTCAGTTGGGGAAAGACGGATACTATAACTTGTTAGGAACCCCAGTAAGAGAATTTTTACCGTTCTTCTGATGAAGAGAGCAGTGTGAGGTCTCCAAGCTTTTCAGATACCTGGGACTGCTTATAGACTTCATATAGAATTGTGTCTTTAGGGGGCTGCTCAGCGGCATAAGCGCCTGCCTTGCAAGCAGGCAGTCCTGAGTTCTATCCCTGGTACCGATAAAAAGGAAAAAGACCAAAAAAAAAAAAAAGAATTGTGTCTTTGCCCTCTACAAATGCTAAATAATGGACAATACAAAAAGACATAATTTTACCAAAATTCATCATCTCCCCACAGCTGTATCCCTAGCATTTGGGAAACGTAAGTAAATTTTTACCTTGAGTTATTTTTTATTGAGTAAAGGTGAGAAAGTGTAGTTGCTACAATAGTCTTGTTTCAAGGTGCGGATGTTCAGTATGTACATTGAGAGTGCAGTGTAAGAAAAATGTTAACAATACTAACACTACAGAGATAGACTATCCCAATAAATGTTACTAAACAATTACAGATACATTCTTAATAATTAGTTAACATCAAATGCCTACTTAAAAGCTACACTGTACTAATAATGTTTTAAAACTCACAGGGATACTTTGGAGCAGTTGGTGCTCTTCTTGGGCTGCCGAATTTCAGCTAAAGCATCAGATTTCTCTGCCAATAAATGTCAAAAGGAGCTGAAACTGGAGACATTTATCACTGCGTTGTCGGTCACTGGGAACCAAAGGATAAAAGAGTAGCATTTTCTTGTTTTCAAATGTCAGGATGGTAAGCTCATGAGTATTGCAATATTAAAAGTGAGAGCTGTCTAACATGTCAAGTATTTCTCATTGAAATGCTTTTTCTTTTGTATACAGCCAGTGTTCAGGCTTTAAGTGTAGGCTAGCATCAAATTATGTAGCTTCCACTCAAAAAGATTTTGTTTATTTTATGTAGCCAACATTGCAGTACTGTATGCTAAATCAAATCGTAAAAGTACAAAAAATGTTTTACTTATGACAAATAATTCATTCTGAGTATTTGTTACAAGTTTGTTTGTTTGTAATGTTTTGGCTACTTGTGAATAGACAAGAATATACTCTTATCAAAATTTATTGTAATGGCAATCAAAGATGATTGTTTATGTGATTTTTGGAAACCTTATGGCATTATTGTAGTCTTTCTAATGTACCCCCTCAGAAAAGCATGTTTATATGATCTTTTTCCAGAAGTATAACTTTTCCTCAAATGTTATAGTTTAGTTGAATATAATGATTTAACTGAAATACTGTCAGTGAATGTTAGCCTGAATTTTAAAATGGCTGGAAAACGCACATATTTCTTAACACTACACTTTCTGTATTTTATGAATTGATCAACACATGTTAAAAGAGCTAATATTTTTAAATTGCAGGTTTAATTATTTTGGGGTTTATATAACGAGGTTCTTGCACTATCCAAATGGAATATGGTTTGTGTGAATTGACATTTATGTTAGGTCTAAATTTATACATTTCTTCTTGTTAATCAGATGTGCACCATGAAAGCTATGTTGCAAAAATTTTCAGAGTTTTACATTGACAGTAACATTTTGGAGGTCCAGTATAATTAATAAACTTGTTTTAAGTCTGTTGCTAACACTATAGGAAATAGAAAGTCTTGGGAAGAAATTCACCTCTGTAAATTACCAGTAAATCTGTGTGTACTTTGAAGAGCTTAAAAATTGTTTACATTTCAGGAAAGTATTAATCACATGTTTTCACAGACCCCAGTGTTGCTCAATAGAGAGCATTTTCAGTAGACTATCAAGAAGTAAAGACATTTCTCTGTATATCTTTGTATTTTTGTAACCAAGTGTTTCAAATTCAATTTTCTTTACATAAAGACATGAACATATAATAATAGGACTGAGTACTTAAGGGGAAAATCATGTAATGGTAATGTTTTATACTTTAGACAACTTGGAACTTTGAATTCAAGTCACCCAGTAGCTATTTTATAAGCCTACAGTGACTTCACATCACATATCCTGCTTTAAGATTTATGTAGCTGTGACTGGCTATTGTAGCTGCAATACCATTGGTTCATTTCATTATAAGTGTTTCTGGTTTGGGTAGTTACACAGATAATACATTGAATGGTAGTAACTAGAAGTTTTACACCTGCGTCCAATGTTACGCACGTGCAACAGGTTTACAACAGTCTTTAAGAAAAAAAAATAGAACAAAGTATGTAAGTTTGATCACTGTATTTTGGTTAATATGAATCTGTGATTCATGTTTTAGCCTTTGAAACTGAAATTACTTGCTGAAATGCATGTAAAAGTGAACAACCATCTCACCACTATTGCTCTTAGCTTTTTCTTTATATAATATAGAATTACTGTATTAATAAGAGGATGTAGAATTGTGAAGAAAAGACCAGGTGTGGTGGCTCACACCTGTAATCACAGTACTCAGAGGCTAAGGCAGGAGGATCACTTTGAGTTCAAGGGCAGCCTGAACTGCACAGTGAAAACCTGTCACAAAAAGACCAAAATGAAAAAAAAAGGCTTTTGAAGAAGGCTGCCAAGATTCCTTTTTTTGTTTGTTTGGTACTAGGGAGAACTCATGACCTTGTACTTGCCAGGCAGGCACTTATGCCACTGAGCTAAATCTCCAGCCTCTAAGATTCCTTTTTTAAATTTTGATCTCAAGAAATTCCCTGAAAAATGCTGTAATAAATAGGTTCGGTTCTAAAGTCATAATGTCTCAAAGGTGTGTATCAGTAGTGGCGAACTGTGTGGCATGGGTACCGCAGCACTGCAGCCTCTGGAAGACTCATCACCACTGATCTTTATTCTTGAACAGTGCCATCTTAACAGAAATGAGATGCAAACTTCACACTTAGTTACACATCTTTACATTTACTAGTAAATGTACAAAACAAGTAACAGCAGGGGAAGATCATTTTAATTATATCTTAACCCAATATATGCAGGATGTTATTGACACTTGCCCTCAACACAAAAAAATTATTTGGAGAGATTTTATCTTTGCTTTTAAACCTTAGTCTTCAGAATTAGTTTATCCTTTACACTTGACACTGTATCTCAGTTCGAACTGGTTGCGTCTCAATGCTCAGCAGCCACATGAGAGTAATGGCTGCTGTCCTGGGCAGTGCATTTCTAGAACTACCTCTTAAAAGGGAAGGCTGTTCTGTGCTCATAAAGATGTTCTGAACATGGACTGCTTTTTAAAAAAGGAGACCCATATTTTTTACATAGGGAATAAGTTATTTGGGCTTATTTTATATAAACAAGGTACTTCTGATCATTCCCAAAATGTCTTGATATTGGCACTCTATCATTTCGTTGTCGCATATGTATTTCTTTTAGTGACACTGATAAAGTTGCCTGAGATACATGCTGACAGTTTCTGACAATCTCCAAATTATATTCCTTCACTAGCAAAGTAGACAATTCCAATGACCTCTTAAAGTTCTAGGTAAACTTCAGCCAATTTTTAAAGGATTAAAAAAGAAAACCATATTGACCTCTAATGGATACTGAGTTCTAGAACCACTGCTATGACATCCCTCCAGAGATTGCCTTTTCGCTGTAGTAAAGTTCTTCTACACCCAGTTAATAGCCAAACGTGAAATAATAGTAAGATAACATGGTAGTTCCTTGCTCACCTACTCTAAAATATGGAGGAAAGTAGATGAACTCTTAATTTGGATAAAGTCTTGCTGTTGCTAGTAATCTTTGGTAATGGAAAGCCCATCAGGAAGTTTCAATATTTGCCAAATACTAGACTCTTAAAAGTTTCTGAGCTATTTTTACTTTTGAGTGTGTTTTACATACCAATTGATAAAAGACCAGTCCTACAAGCAGATTGATGAAACTCAGTGAAGAAGTTTACCTTTTTCCAGTAGTATTCTTGCCTTCAAAGAGTAGTGGAGTACTTTGCCTTGATTTCTAAGGTTGCATTCTTGGGTGGAAAACTTAGCCCATCTATAGTTCTAAGTATCTTTTATAAGCAATTTTTTAAATATTTGGGCTAGTTGTGTCTCTTTTCTGTTAAGCACTTTATGCTTTTTAGTATATTGCATTTAAGAATGTAATTTAGAAATCCTTCTAAGCCATGTAAAAGCTGATAAAGAATAATGAAAATGAGTGTATATTATTTTGCATTTAACTTAACGTTTTGTGGTGTGTGTAAACAAAATAGAAATATATTGCCTTTTTATAATAATACTGTTTGACCTTAAGGTGATTGCCAAGAAATCTCAATGTCTTAATTTCTAACCTACATTCATACTTATTCTAATGTATTTTATTTTAACACTGAAGAAATTCAGCCTACTTGTTTTTATCATCAGATAATCTTAGAAACTAATATACTTTATGTAACAGCTTTTCAGTATTTAAGAGTCTTAAATTTTCTGCTGATCCTACTAATGAATTAAGACCCAAAGGGTGTGTATTTTTGCAAATATTTTAGTAGCCCATTCAGAGTAATGGTGAGGTAAAAAGTAAATCCTCCTGCCTTTTGACACATCTTTTAAATGACAGCTTTCAAATGATTTCTGTTTCCAAAAATTCAAATGTTTGCTCAAAGTAGCCCCTGTTGCATGCTTTATATTACTATTTATTTGATGGATGTGAGCTTATAATTCGGTATTGTTTTATAACACTTGGTTTTGTGGTACATGGGGGTTGAACTCTGGGCCTTGTGCATGCTAGGTAAGCACCCTACCACTGAGCTACATCTCCAGCCCTGACACTGATCTAGAAGTAGTGCTGATCACTGATCTAGTTTCATTTATAAAATGAGAGAATTGGATCATAATAATTGGAAGTCACGCTCCTGAGAGAGACAGTTGCTTAATTCTTGGCAATCTTTGGAATGACTAAAACAATATTTTCTAATATTTAGTCTGTTTCAGTTAATTTTTAGTACTTATAATATTTTTGTAATTGTACATGCTTTTATTAATATGTTAATGGATACTAGAATTTGGATTCTCACCAAACCAGTAGAATGGTATTCATTATTCTCATGTTACTGCCTCTGTAGTAGTTAAGTGGGTACATCTTATTTGAAGGATTTAAATATATATAAACGTGAGTGTACATTTGGAATTTTTACTGTTAACTTTGAAATTACATGGGCATTACTATAGCTTTGTTTTTGTCCTAGAAAGCGAACTCAAGACCTCATGCTTCCCAGGCAGGCAGGCACTGTGCCACTGCTATATCCCTGGCCCAAACTTTTTCATTGTATGAAAATAAGACATACCATTAAATTCATGATGCTGGAATAGCAGGTATTTTAGCATTTTTTTGGTAGTCACTTTCACCTGTTTTTTTTTTTTTTTAACTTGTAATCATTTGGAGTAGGAACAGATGTAGAATCATTTATTTCTTTGTCCAATACATAATTGACGGCAAAACTTACTTTTAAAAAGTTCAACGACATATAAATAAGTTGAAATCGATTACTTATGACATCAAACATTTTTAAAGCTAAAGTACTTTTTCCTTAGGATTATCTAAGAGTAATCAGATACTTGTCTGACGTTGCTACTTTTCTGCATATTTAAAATACAGTGATAACTGATACTGGAATTTCAGGTACTGGTTTTGAATGCTTGAAGGGAACTTGGTTTTAGGAAAATCTAGAAGCGTATTTTTGCTCCTTTCATAGTCAGAAAATTATTTTTCCTTTTGATTTTTTTTTTTTTTTGTCTTGCTGCAACTGCCGTGAATTTTATGTTTAAAAGAACTAGTAAGAAATGTATTTTTTCAGTCACGAATGAAGATGAAAATCAAAGATTTTGAATTGTGTGAATATGCAACTAATTCAATTTTAGAATATTCTTGTGCTTTTTTTGTTTGCTATTTTGTTTTTACACATTTGTGTATACTTACAAATAGTAACACGTACATAAATGTAGTTTGTGATTATTTTAACTTTATATCATATCTGAATTTCATACCAATTTAGTCACTTCCCACAATACTAAGCAATTTTGAAATTTGACTATTTTTTCCTTAAGTGGTCCCTTTTTAGTTTTCAGCAGTTAGAAAGAAAAGATAACTGTTCAAACCTAATACCGTTCCGGGTATATAATTAATGGTGTTAAGATATGAATAACGTTAAGCTGTCTTACTAGTTTCGTACATTGTGTGTATTTACTTTTTATTTGAACTACAGTGAAACACATTTTGACTGAAGTTGAATGCATTCTGCCCAGGTACTGACCAACCGTGTCTAAAAGATGTTTCTGTCCCAGTGTAGGCAGTCTTTTTTTAAATTGGGAGTTAATTTTACATATGCTGTTTGCATTTGTTTCTTTACTGTATTGAGTTCTTGTCACATCTATGCTTTGTCATGTCTGTATTTTTCTAACAATAAATCTGTGTTGTACAAAATGTATGATGTGCTACAAATTTTATGCATAGTAAACTAAGTTATAGCCTATGTAACCTGTAAACATTTCTTGTAAATTACCTAATTTATTTTTCCATTTCTGTACAGTTTCTTATGTAAATTTTTAATATATTAGTTGTGGCCCATTCTGTAAACATTCCCATACTATTTTCTTTAATGCTTACTTGCATGACGGAAACTTTGGTTTTGTTCATTTGTATTATATAGCAATTAAGCCAGTTTTAATACCTGCCTTTTCTGTAGTTTTAACTTTTTCTAATTTTGTTAATATTTTAAATACATGTTAGAATCGTGCTTTTTATTTCCTACTTTCCAAATAAATTCTAATTGTTTACTAATTTATTTCATTATTTCTTTATTCCACAGAATTGTACTCCCACATTTGTGCTCTGATTAAATGTTAAGGTTGTAACAGATGACAGAGTGTAAACTCCATGAGAACAAGGACTTTGTAAAGACTTGTCCACCTCTGTATCTCCATAACCTGGTGCAGAGGAGGCACTCAATAAATAAATACTTGTTGAATGAGTTAACTTTAGTGTCCTTATCTAATCTGGCTATATAGGTAAAAGTAATAGTTTTTCCCACCTTTTCAAACACCAGAAAGCACAGGTGTTAGTCCCTTGGAGATTTATACTTGCATGAAATTTAAAACTTACATTGTTTATGATGTAGAGGTTTTGTCTCATGAAATGAGACCAGAATGAATATGTATAGCAGTGGTTCTGAGAGAGCTAATCCTCAAGAGCTCTTAGGACAGATGCCAGAACACATGATACCATGGCGTCTCTCATGCTTACATCCTCAAAACCAAAATTGTATTTATTTAATTCTTTTTTGAGACAGGATCACTCTACAATCCAGGCTGGCCTCGAACTGGAGCCAGTCCGCTTGCCTCAATTTTGTGAGTGCTGGAATTATAGGTATGCACCGCCACACCCAGCTTGTCAAATTTGGTGGGAGAAGCTTTAATTTTTCTTAAATGCAAATGATTAGATTAGAAATTTGTCTATCAGATTTACAAGTTAATGATTATCTTGTGTGGTGACACACCTGTAATCTGAGCATTAGAGAAGCTGAGGCAGGAGGTTCACCATGAGCTTGAGTCCAGGCTGAACTATGTAATGAGATGCCATTTCCAAAAAAATGTAATGCATTATTCTATGTAATACATGTCATAAAATCTTTTTGTTTGTTTTTTGTACCAGGGATCAAACTCTCAACCTTGTGCTTGCTAGGCAGGTGCTTATGCTGCTGAGCTAAATCCCAGCCCTAATATAATACAAAATTTAGAAAGGTTGAAAATAAGAGAATGGGTACATACACCTGTCTTCCTTATTTTTTTTTTTTTAAAAAGAAAGCCCATGATGAAAAAATATGAGATCTTAACTAAGAAAATGAGGGGCTGGGGATATAGCTTAGTGGCACAGCACCTGCCTGGCAAGCATAAGCTTTTAGTTGGATCCATGATACCAAGTATATACATATATATATATATATTAGAAAATGATGTAGTGCAGCAGTAACTCCTGAGATGTACTAACCCGCCAAGTGGGGAAATGCTGAAATGCTGCCAGGAGTTGCGAATAAGCTGCCAAGGAATAAAGTCCAAGGCTGCATACCTGAAGTGCTTCATCCAAAATAAACAGTGCCTGTGGGGACAAGAGTTTATATCACAGGTGTGCAACACACACCTGGCTATATCCTATATACTCCTAATCATCCAAATTACGGAACCTAATACAATGCAAATGCTGTGCAAATCGTTGGACTGCATTAAGGAATAATGCCAAGAGGATAAAAGTTGATCCATGTTCAGTATAGATGGTTTTTCTTTCCCATGTACTATCCACTGTTGGTTAAATCTATAGATGTGAAATCGAGAGGTACAGAGAGCTGACTACATACTGAATTCTGCATCCAGCAAAGGGTTCAGATTCTTCTCAGGCACAAGTAGAGCAAAAAACTAATGAACAGTCTGTAAGTTTCAGGAGAGATCACAGACAATAACAAAAGAAATTTATGTATTTATATTTTGGGGTTTTTTGAGACAGGGTCTCACTTTGTAATTCAGGCTGGCCTGAAACTTGTGGTAATGCTCTTGCCTCAGCCTCTTGAGTGCTGAGGGTACAGGCATGCTCCACCACTTCCAGCATATACTCAAAAGTTAATCTACATATTTGCTACTTTGAGAGGCAGTATGAAGTAGTGGCTAAAAACAAGTACTATGGAGAAAGGGTGCAAATTCTACTGATTCACTATGTATATGATGTTAGGAAAGTTTTCTAACCTGTACCTCCTCATATCCAGAATGGGGCTGATAATTTGTATCTTCTTGCAATGGTCATTAATGTTCAGGAGAGAGTTTCTTTATCCCACTTTTCAGACACACAATTCCACTTCTTGTGATGGGGTAAGTTCATCTGATTAGTTCTGGCCAACTAGAGAGTCGTGCATGGACATAATGTATGTCACTTTTTGGCTAGAGCTCACAATTCATAGTCTTCAGTCCATAACTGGTTCCAAAGCACCATAGCACAGCAGAGGGAGGTCACAGAGGAGAAACAGTTCATGGTGTGGTAGGCAAGAGACTGAGCTGCAGGTCTCTCTTTTCCTTCTAGCTCAAGCCTTTTGGGTGGTGCCACTTATACCCGGGGTAGGGATTCTGTCTTCTGTAAACCTATTCAGCCACAGCTACAACTGCAAATTGCAACAAATGGACTCGTTAGTACCTCACCCTTAATTCCAGTATCATATACCCTAGAACCAGCCACCTCTGAGAAGAGTCACCTGTGGGCACATGAGGCTTTGGAGGACATCTAGATACAAGCCATAGCACATGACAACCTGGAAGGTGAGAAAGTACCAATGGACTGGTGGTCTTGGGAGAAGTTGGAAAGCAGGGTATTAATAGCATTATGAGCATCTTGGTTTTCTTTCACTGAGGTATTCCAAAAAAGGCTCAGAATAGAATTGGCTGGTTTATGAGCACACAGGAAGGGCAATAGGAAAAAGGAAGTGTGCGTGGATGTGCTTATAATGGTGAGCTATGAGATTTCAGCCAGTTGAGAGGAAGAATGATGTGGAGAGGACAGCTGAAGGGATAGTGAACAGAGCTGGGTTACTGGGTTGGAAGTCCCATGGGGTTAAATCATCTGGATCTGGGATTCAGGACAAAGAGGTGGACAGTTAAGTGGGGAGGAAGGAGGTTGAGGCTGAAGAAAGTTCAGCATCACATTAGGAGCAAATGTGGAGATGACGTTCTCCATGGAAGAAAACCTCAAGTTGCTTTCTCAGCTCTACTGGCCCCGTATTTCTGGAAGCCTCCCTGGGGGCAGCCATAAAGAACTCTGCAAGCACCTTGGCTATTGCAAGCAGCCTTGTTTTAGTTACCTGCCTTCTCCAGGAGGGACGCTAAGACTATAGGCAGCGGCTCAGCATGTGTCTTAAGTGGACCTAGAGCCTTAGCTGATGCAGGACTTGTGGCCACCGTGGAATGAAACTGGCAAACACGAGACATAAATGTGAAAGGCAAGATTTGGGGGGAAAGTCCATAAATACTTTTAAGATACCACAATCCCCTTTCAAAACAACTTAAGTATTGGGAGCTCTTACACTGAGTCTGGGAACGGTGAATATTGAAGAATCTGGCTCCTTGTTAAAATTTTATGTGCAGGTTTTTTTAGACCTAAATATAAGCAACCACAAAAGTCTTCTCTGCATGGTGTCATGGGGAAGGCTGCTCTCTGCACAGTGCACCGCCTTGCTGGGCACCTCTGGATGTCGCCTCAGTTAGGATGTGGGCCCCCCTGGGGGCTGTGCTCTTTCATAAACTACCATCCCTAGCCTGTGTCTTTCCTGCATCCCTTTAGCTGAAGCCTTGAGCAGAAGCCACTGAAAACCTCGAACACTTCTCTCCACCCACTTGTACTTTTCCACTCTTAGCTTTAGTCTCTCCTTTCCCACTCCTGCCCAATTCAGAGTCCAAAAAACTGCTGGAGTCATTCGTTGGAGCCCTTCTCAACTAAGACAACCCCAACTGCTGCACGGATTCACTTACATTAAACTCCAAAGTCTGTCAACTCAGTTCCTGCTCTCTGATAAACATGCTCAATAACTTTGTTCTCAGGCATCAATATCAACTGTCTGTTGGATTCCTGGGGAACTTCCCATGTTGACTGATGCCCCATGTACCAGTGTTATGCTCCAGTTATTCAAATACTGTCCTAATTTTCAGTCAGTAACAAATATGGTACTTTAAATATAGGTCTCAGCCCTGGCTGCACGTTAAAATCACCTAGGGAACTTTTAAAAATGCCAATGCCAGTTAATTCCCTAGAATGTCTGATTTTTAATTTCACTGACTTAGAGAAAAGCACAGTTCTGCCCCCAAAAATCCTGTATCTCTCACTCTTTCGCTCTGCTACCTTGGCTGTGTCATATTCCTACACCTCAGTTTGCTCATCTGTGATATGGGAGGGGTGATCCTTGCTTCCCAAGGGTGCTATGAAAATTGAAATTAGATCCTAGGAATCACTTGTCACCTGCTTTGTGCATATTCAATGGTATCTTACTCCAAATATGAAATAAGAGCTTCCTGTTAGCCAAAGGACATGGAAGGCCTAGTTAGGACTAGTTGAAATTTGGATGGATAGAGAGACAAAGGGGAAACTCCGTTTGGTCTTCCATGGCCTGAAAAAGAAAACAGAAAGAAAAAGGCCTTTATTGAGGGTAAGAGAGGGCTGCCGAAAAGATGCAAGCACCCTCTGGAAGTCAGGGAAAAGCCCACGAGCTTTATTTGGAATCTGGGCGGAGTTGAAGGGGGCTGGCTGACGGAATGACGTATTGACAGCTGATTGGAGGAGTGTTAGCATGTGCGTGAAAAGTGGGAGGTTTGACTTTCGGGTTCAGGAGGAAGTACTGTCCAGTGCCAAAGGGACACACAGGAAAAACCTGTCACTCCCAATTGCCAGGAAAGAACAATTGGAGCCCATTCCTTTGGTATTATACTTGGAATACTGAACTCTGACCTTTCTCATCTGATCCTTGTCTCAGCGGGCAAGAAATCAATCCACAGGGACAAAGCACCTGCCTCATAGGTGCACATGGAGATGGTGCACCAGGAGCCCAGCCTACTCTGCACATGCCTTCAGTCCTCCTTTCCAGCTGGTCCTCTAGAGAGGACACTGCTTCTGGTTTACATCTCTGGTCACAAGCTGTGGCTTGAAAGAGGCGCTGGAAGGACATGGGAATGGATCCTGGGCTTGAGACTGACGGTGTGCAGATATGAAAACCTACGTGAACCAAGGTTGGGAACAGAAAGGGACAGGCCACAGACCAGCAGCTTTTACACTGTCTTGCTGCAGGCCACACCAGTTTTAGGGCTAGCTCCCACTCAAGTGTTCATTTTGCAAGAGTTTTCAAGCTGAATGTTAAAAGCTCCAGCACTTCCTCAAATGTTCTCATTATTTTGAAATCATACTTTTAAAAAATCAAATAAATGCTTAGCTCTATGCTTGGGACATGGTAAGTGCTTGATAAATATTGGAGAGGTAATGTCCAAATATACTTGCCAAATTCGGAAGGGCTCAAGCATCTTGCTCAATAGTAGGATGGGAAGAGGAAATTGCCAATTTAATGGTGACTTTTTTCCACTGTAGAATAATCCTTTTTTCACCAAGTTTTTCCTCCAGTCTAGTTTTTCCCCTCTTTGTCCCGAAAGGTTATCTGAGCAAGGAGGGGGCTGACGGACACGATGGTGACAGCGAGGGCCAGGCACCTGCTGTCTGGCCATGTGTCCATCTGGCCTGCTGCTTTGTTGACTCTGCTTGCCAGTGTGCTGCCCTGACTTCTATACTCTGGCTCTGGATGGAAACTTGGTAGCACACTCCCAGAGGGGAGCGGGGCTTTCCAAACCACACTAAATTCCTCACACTCCACAGGACTAGGAGGAAAGAGGAAAGAGGAAAATCAAATGAAAATACGGCATACAGGGTTCTTGCTGTATGCCTGGCTCCACACAGGTGTTTCCACATTCTACGGTGCTCACCCCAGCAGGTCTCACAATCCAATAAAGCAGGCATTTTATTTATTTTTTATTTTTTGTCTTTTTCATTTTTATCGGTACCGGGGATCGAACTCACGACAGCCTGCTTACAAGGCAGGCGCTTATGCCCCTGAGCTAAACCCCCAGACCCAAGGCAGGCATTTTAGCTGGAAGTTCTCATCCAGACCTAGTGTTAGGAACTGAAATCCCTGCACCCAGTGAAATTCTGTATGGAGACAGGCCCTCAGTGAGGCAGTAGAGTTAAAAGAGGTGCAGGGATAGGCTCTAATCCAGGAGAATCAGTGTCCTTATGAAAAGAGGAAGAAACACCAGAGCTCTCGAGTTCTCTGTGGCACACACGGAGGATTTGTGATGAATGACACAGCCAGAAGGCTGCTCCTTACAAGCCAGGGACACAGCTCTCCCCAGAAACCAAATCTCCAACTGTTGATTTTGAACTCCTAGCTTCCAGCATTGTGAGAAAGTAAGTATCTGTTATTTCAGTCACCCAGCCTAAGCTACTTTGTTACAGCAACTTGAGAAGATAAACCAACATAGGGATCCCCTCCTGGGAGCTGGAATAGATGGTTACTGATGCATTCTAATTTCTGAGTACATCCTAGGTCCACTATCCTGTCTGGCATTCTTGGGACTCACTGTCCACTGCCGTTTGAGTTTCTTTCCCTTGTCTCATCTGTTAAAACCAAGTTCCAGCTTCCCCTGTGTATTTCTTTTAGTTTCTGCTGTGCCATTCCACTTGGCCAGGAACCCTTTTGTAAATCAGGGATTTTTGCTTTTTAAACTGGGATCTGTGTTGCTCTGGCTGGCGTTGAACTCCTCAGCTCAAGGGGAGAGGATCAGATCCCTGAGTAACTGAACAACAGAAAGTATCACCAGAGTCAGCATCAAAGGGATTTTTTAAAGGCACATTCTCGCTATTTGAAGCAATCCTCCTGCTTCAGCCTCACGAGTTCTAGGATTACAGGTGTGCACCACCACACCCAGCTCAGAGGGATTCCCCGCCCCACCACCACCACCAAGAGGGATTCTTTGGCAGTTTGTTTTCATGCCATTTCTTTTTTGATGGGCTCCAAGCAGCTTCAGACCCAGACTGAATTGCATATTCAGGGATGAGGGGGTGAGTGGCCAGGAAGGAAGGAGATCAAGTTTCCCCGGCTCTGCACTTCCTGCGGGGGGGGGGGGGGGAAGCCACTTGGGAGGAAGAAGCCAGGCTCCTGTTGAGTTGAGCTGGCTGTGAGGAAGGCTGGGTGCTGCAGCACAGGTTTCCCTCCCAGGTGGCCAGCATATGTCACCTTCATCTGTTCCCTGGGGCTCCATCCTCAGCCTCAAAGACTCATCGTGTTACTAACAGCACTGGACAGAGGGCTTTTCCATGCAGTAGCCAGGATAGAGTCAGTGTAAAGGACAGATTCTGGAGTCTGACTGGCTTTGATTTCTGTCTGTGAGACTCCCTAGGGGATCTTAAGCAAGTACCTTACGTCTTTGAACTGCAGTTCTTTCCTTGTTAAACAGGGCTACTGGCTCTTGCTTTGTAGGACTGTGATGGTTTCCATTATTTCTAGAAATCCCAGTTTAGGGTTTGGTCGGTGTTTATACCACTTACTCTCTTCTTGAGTCAGTCCTGCCAACAACCTGAACTGTAACTCTGAATTTTCATATGGGGACTAGGGAGAAGATGCAAACTAGCTACCTTTTAAAAAGTTTTGTTTATACTGTTTTGTTGTTGTTTTCCCGAGAAGACACTGGGAAAGGGCAGACTAGCCATAATCTTTGCCTAAGCACATCTTTAGGAAGAAAAACCCAGCCTGCAAATGATAGTCATTTCCAGGCTAAATGTTGACCTTGGCAGTTGGCAATGGAGATTTTTTTTTCTTTTGTAGCTAATGAATGAATGAATGAATGTCTATGTAAGGTCTGATTTGGGGGGAGGGATTCACCAGGCTTTGAGGGTATTCTCAGCTCACTTGGGGTGGCACATTCTCCTGTCCCTATCAATGTACTGAATCCAACTTCTGTGTTGCAGGAAATTCCCTTCAGAAATGGAGACTGTCTGGGAGTCATTTTTCTCAACCATCCTGCAGACCCTGGGGGAGATCACTGTGTGTTTCTGCTCTGCTCTGGCTTTTGTGACCTCTTAGAAAGGGCAGCCCAAGAAGATGAGAACAACACCACCATGAGGCCAGACAGCCCCGCTGTATCCCTGTCCCAGGGCATGCCATGCTTTGGGGATAAGAATGTCCTGGTGCCAAGGAAAGGGTGGTACATTTCAGCCCCAAAGACTGGCACTGAGAGACACTGTGGTTAGTTAGCATAGCTGCTTTCCAAAGAGTAGCACTGAGCTCTGCCTCCCCCACTTAAATTTGGACGAATAGTTTATGGTCAGAAGCCCTACTTGTAATATGGAATGGCAACAAAACCATCTCAGAGCTGGTGGAATGATTAAATGTAATAGTGAATGCAAAAGAGCTTAGAATAAACTGCTAAAAGCTTTATGTGGTTAAGATTCATGTTTTGAGCTAGACAGGTTGAATGTGCCAATGTCTATGTCCTTCCCTAGACTTCGGCTTGGTCTTGTGCTTGGCTAATATGAATAGAGATTCCCTCATCATTTCTAAGGGGAACTTTAGAATCTCATTAGCAACGTCCAGGTTATCGTTTCTCTGCCCTTTTGATTAGAGGAAGTGTTATGAAAATGGGAGCCAAGATCTAGGGTGATTAGAGTAACTGCGGCTGATAGGCCAGGGGATGTGGGAGACTGTTCTGTAGCAAAACGCAGCCTGGTCTCACCAGCACACTCGGTGACTGTTTCTTTTATGTGATTTAATAGAAAACAATAAAACACCCACACAGAGGGAAAAACAGCACATACACACGAAGCCTGGACACAACAGTCTTGGGGAGAGCTCAGGGAGACCGTGCTCTGGCTGCTACTTGCTCTTGGGAAGGGGCCGGTAGACACCGACGACCACCGCGTGGTCCCTCTCATAGGGCTCCAGGGTCAGCTGCTCTTGCGGCTTCAAGTTCTCCTGCTGCAACTTCCTCACCTCCGATGCAAACACAGCCTCTGCGGAGGCCGTGGAGTCGATGCAGTTGGCCTTGATGGAAATGAGAAAGTGGCCACCGTTGCGCAGGAAAGTGTGCGCGTTCAGAGCCACGATGCGCGACTGGTCCGGCTGGGCCACGTCGGCGAAGATCACGTCCACCATCCCGATGAGCATACGGTACCTGAGCGGATGCCGGGCATCTTCCAGAACCGGGATGATGTTGGTTCGCTTTTTGGCCACGTTGACCAGATCGCGGCCTGCGCGGTGGGAAAACTCCACTGCGTAGACCAGGCCATCCGGGCCGATGATGTCGGAGACGTGGGAGACGGTGGTGCCCGAGGCAGCGCCCAGGTACAGCACTTTGGACTTGGGCTTGATGTGGATCTGGTCGACCCCTCCCAGGATGGCGGCGGCCAGCTTGGAGCGGAAGGGGTTCCACGTGCGGTACTCCTGCTTCACGCCGTTCTCGGTGACCGTGACGCGCCGCTCGCCATACACCGAGAGGCCGGGCACCAGGTTCAGCGTGACCAGCGCGTCCTCCCCGCCGCGGTAGATGAACACGCCCTCGTGCCGGTGCGGCTCCACGCACACCGCGCTAGAGCCCTTCCTGCGGCGGCTCTTGCTCTTGGTCACCGCGCCGCTGCGCCGCTGGCTGCCGCCCCGGTCCCTGCTGTCGCTGCTGCCGCTGCTGCGCCCGCGACCCTTACCTCGGCCGCCGCCGAAGGCACGCGTGCGCGCCCCGAAGCCGCCCTTGCTCCCCGAGCCGCCGCCGTCTCCTCCCTTCCCCCCTCCGCCTCGGCCCCCGCTCCAGCCGCTGCTCCAGCCGCCGCCCCCGCGACCCCCCGAGTTGCCCCCGCGGGAGCTCGGCGCCGACTTCATGGCGCCCTGGAGCGAGCGCCCGCCGATGGGGTGGGGGCGGTTGTCAGGGGTTACCGGCGGCCGGGGACGGTTGTCAAGGGTTACGGGTCGGAGGGCTGCAGTGGGCGCTGACAGGTGTCAGGGATCGCCGCTGACTCTCGGTGATTTTCCTGGAGAGGGACGAGGGTCAGCGGCCGCGGGTGTGCGCGCAGCAGCCGCTGGGCCCGGGAGGCAGCGGACAGGTCCGGCTCTGGCGCAGTCCCGGGAGCCGCCCCTTGACGCACGGACTGGCGTGATTGCATCACACCCGTTTGGGCGACCCTGCAGCCCCGGAAGCCCCTTCTCAGCTAGCGCGCAGATGCAGCGTGCTCAGGTGTAACCCTTCGCCTTCTCTTCTGTTTCCTCCAGGACCCTGGTTCCCTGGGCCCGGCGCGTTTCTGTGGCACAGGAAGCAGGCCTGGGATTCAGTCCTGGCCACCTGCTTGCTGTCTAGTCTCGGGAAGCTTACCTGGCTCTGTCCCTGAGAGTCTTGTTTGAATTGAGGCAAGTTTCTTTTTGATCATCCTGTCTGTGAAATAAATCCTATCTGTGGAATATCTCGAAGGTTTGTTTTGTAGCACAGATGCTTACTCCAGCTGTGACATGTGTCAAGTGCTCTATTAGCGATAGCTTTCTTGTTTGGATTTTCAGCTATTTCTTTTGGTCAGTCCTTTTAGTGGCACACAGTGTTACTTTATATACAATAAAATGCAGCAGTTTTTTGTTCTGATACAGATATTCCGACAAGACACTTAAACACATAGTATATTTTGACTTATCTACTCCACTTTGAAAGGGTTTTTTCGTTTTTCTTTTTGCCTTTGCAGTCTTGGGGTTCAAATCCAGGGCCTCCTACATGCAAGGCAAGTGCTCTACCACTGAGCCACAGCCCGGGTTCTTTTTAAAATTTTATTTTGAGACAAGCGTGGTGGTGCACAGAGAATCACCAGGAGTTCGAAGTCAGCCTACACAGTGAGTTCAAGGCCAGCCTGAATTACACAGTGAAACTTTATCTCAAAAAAAAAATTTTTTTTTTTAATTTGAGATAAGGTCTCGCTGCCTTGCCTAGACTGGCCACTACTTGATATGTGTCCCAGGCCAACTTGCAACTCAGGATCCTATTGCCTCAGTGTCCCAAGTGCAGGGAGTACAGTTGTGCACAACTAAAGTCAGCCACTTTGAAAGTTTTATCCTAAGGAGATGACCCTTGTGAGAAATGAGAGCAAATAGAACTGAGGAAGTGAAGGTTATGAGCATAAAGAGGCCCTATGAGAGAGAGAGAGAGAGAGAGAGAGAGAGAGAGAGAGAGAGAGAGAAAGAGAGAGAGAGAGATTATGATAAAGGTAGCATTGGTGATTACCATCATGGAAATGGTGGAGAGGCTGAGAAAGTGGACTAATCCAAGAGATACTTGCAAGAGAGCATTCACAGGGGCTGGGGATTTAGCTCAGCGGCATAAGTGCCTGCCATGCAAGCAGGCAGTCATGAGTTTGATCCCCGGTACCGATAAAAAGGAAAAAGACAAAAAAAGAGAGAGAGCATTCACAAGATTTCCTGACATACTGCACACAGGGAATCAAAAATAGGAAAACTTAAAGACAGAGACAGGTAAAGTGTCATGGTTTCCCTGCTGTGGATAATAGCCTGAAAATTCCAGATGTAGTTGATTTCTGTTTAGTTCTGCTGTATCCCATTCACTGTACTAAATCCCAGAGACTGTTCTAGAAATATTACAGCAAGAAAGTATTGATTCTTTCATTAAAATGGGAATATACATGCCATTTCTGCAAGACATGTCAATAGGAGCCAAGATGTCACATTTATCCTTGAATTATCCTTCCTCTCCCTCATTCTGGCTCTTTCTCTCCAACACCAAGACAGCAACAAATGTGCCCCCACGGCTTTACTGCCTAGTCAGTACCATGGACAGCGGCAAAAATTTGGTGCCATTTTCACCACTGGTGGTAGCTTCAGGACACAGCCAAGAGCTCGGCCTGTGGGCAGGTGGTGTAAGCAACTGGGTGATCTCCCTAATAGTGGAGCTAAGTGCCTGATTCAGAGAGACAATACCCGAAGTTCATGGTACATATCAGGCAGAGCATACTGAATGCTCCAGATGTACACAAGATAAAAATTTTTCTTCCATCCTGGTCTTCAGCCCTTCCTGTCTTACATTAACAGAAATACCAGCTCTGGTTATTCTTTCAAGACTATAATGCCTCATAGGGAGACACATGTGTGCCTATAGGAGCGAGAAGTCTGCAAACAAGGTGACTAATGATCAACTCTATAGTTCCTATGATGAGTGATTCACATAAAATACTACACTAGAGGTTTCCACTCTCCTACTACAGATTGAGGTGTAGTTTTTAAAATGATGAGCTATGCTTGTTGTCTTGGTTTGGGTTGCCTCTAAAATTAGGCCCTGTGATGTTAAATTTTTTGTGCCAACTTGACATGGATTGACCAGATATTTGGCCAAATATTGTTCTGGATGTTTCTCTGGGGGTATTTTTGTTGAGACTAACATTAAATTAGTAGACTGCATAAAGCAAGTTGCTCTTCATTATATCAGGAAAACTTCATCTAATCAGTTGAAAGCCTGAATAAGATAAAAGGTTGATCCTCCCCATGGGAGAGAGAATTCTCCTAACAACCTTTGAACTGGGGCATAAGCTATTCATGCTTGACAAACTTTGAATAAGGGCAATAGTTTTGCATGATCCTATATGCATTCTGCAAGTTGTTTCTTGGGAGAACCCTAATTTCCCTGACAAAAGGGTTCAACTTTAGGGGGCTTATTTGAGAAGTGACCTCAGTCAGCATATAGGGGTACAGGAAAATGAAATGGGTGAGATATAAAGGGTGCATTAAGCAGCAGAATACAACAGTGGGCTACCCGGTGCTCAGTTGTGCAGGAACTGTGTGAAAATTAACTCAGAACTGTCCTACTGGCTGGGAGGGTTATGAAAATTAACTCATTATTCCTTTCCCTGCTATTACTAGTTGTTGCTGGGGCACGAACTCCTTTGCCCGTCAAATTGTTCTCATGAATGAACCCTGAGTTGAACTTCAGCTGTCTGTTGATGTGATCACTGCCTCTTGGTGCAACTTTTTTTTTTCTTTTTTTTTTTTGTGTGTGTGTCTTTTTCCTTTTTACTGGTACCAGGGATCGAACTCACGACTGCCTGCTTGCAAGGCAGGCGCTTATGCCGCTGAGCTAAATCCCCAGCCCACTTTTTTTTTTTTTTTTTTGTGTGTGTGTGTGTGTGTGTGTGTCTCCTGGTACAACTTTCACCATTGTGATGTCATCGATCACAAACCCTTCAATGGAGCTGAGCTGATACCAGTGCCAAATTCTCAAATATCCAGAGCTGAGTGACTTCTTTATATTCCATTATAGTAACAGAAACAAACTAGTGTATGTTTTCTCACTTCTAATTTCTTTCGTCAGTGTTTTATAGTTTCCATTGTATAGAATTTTACCATTTTTGGTTACATTAATTTTAAGTTCTTAGGTATTCCTCTTTTTGTTTTGTTTTTTGGGTTGTTTTTTATTTCTTTTTCAGATTCTTGTTAAACACCCTAAAAACACTACTGAGTTTTGTGTCCTGCAACTTTGCTTTGTTTATTAGTCCTGACAGTTCCTTGGTAGAGTCTTAGATTATTTTTGTGTAGATAAAATAATGGTAACAGAGACAGTTTGACTTCCTTGTTTCTAACTTATTTGCTTTTTATTTCTTTTTCCTCTTTGTTGGGAGCCGCGGCCGAGCCCGGTCGCCTTACTTGGCGGACGTGAGGCCTGTAAGAAAGAGCAAAGCCTGAGCTAGATTACCCCTCCCATCAAGTGTGCTAAGATGGCGCTTATCTCCTGCTTCCTGCTTGGTAAACAACCCGCCCTGTAAGATAGTCTGCCTAGCAACAACTGATGTTAGCCAATCAGCCCGCATCGCGCGCTTTGAACTGATTGGCCACTGTAACCCTATAAAAGTGAGTGCCTCTCCCGCCACGAGAGAAGAAGCACGGAAGGAGCCGCGGAGAGCGGACCGGTAGAGGCTTCGGGACAGACTGTAGAGAAGAAGCACGGAAGGAGCCGCGGAGAGCGGACCGGTAGAGGCTTCGGGACAGACTGTAGAGAAGAAGCACGGAAGGAGCCGCGGAGAGCGGACCGGTAGAGGCTTCGGGACAGACTGTAGAGAAGAAGCACGGAAGGAGCCGCGGAGAGCGGACCGGTAGAGGCTTCGGCCGGGAAGAATCCCGGGGCAGACTGTGCGGAGAAGGAGAATAAAGAAAGCCTGACCACCGCTGATACTGTCGCGTGTTCTTCCTGCCGGCCGGGAGCGACACCGACATCTGGTGGCCCGTACGGGGATTGATCAACCCCGAGATGCGGCGGTGGACTGCATTCTCCAATACAGTGCTGCAGGACAGGTGAGTAGAGGATAAGCCTGGGCCCTGGGTGGCGCGCACCTACAGGGTTTTTAGACTCCTCTCAACCTCACGCGTAAGTGGCGGGTTTCTTGGGCCTCACGCGGTGAGTATGAAACATAACACCAGAACTTAAGGTAATAAAAGAGTGTAAAACATAAACATAGAAGTAAAAATAACAGAAGATATATTAAAAATGGGAAACATGCCAAGTAGCGGCACTAAGAGTGAGGGTAGTTACGGGGGGAGCTCTCAAGAACTTGTAGAAGTACGCGAGGTGTTTGAACAGGCACAGTCAAGGAGCTCCCGAGAGGGGTCCGTCAAGGAGGACAAAGGTACAGAAGAGGAAGACAGGGCTCAAGCCTCGGAGTCGTCAGACTCCGAGGAAGAGGGAGACTTGAATGACAGGGAGGCCAGAAGGGCCGACTGCCGGGAGGCTAAGCCAAGTGATAGGGAGGCACACAGCTCTTTCGCCGCGTTGCGCCGAGAACTGCGCTCCGCTCAACTAGGCTTACGAAAAAGCAGAGAGCTTCTGAGCGCCCCCTGGCAGGGGAGGGAGACAGAACCTTCCGCTCTGCCCTGGAATTCGTTCCCGGAAGCGGTCCCTCGCCGCGAGGCCGCCGCCTGGGACTTCCCCCCTCTTCAGCCAGTACAGGAAGTAATGCCTAGGCCACTATTTTCTACCCAACCGCGGCCGCCATCTTATGATGCTCCGCCGCCGGCGGGACGTTATTTCCACAGACAGCTGTGGCGTGGGGGTCGTGTGTCTAATGAAGACCACCCGTTCCCAGGGATAGATAGCGGCCCCTATGGGATATATCCTGTACAAATGGCCC